GACTTCACCCTCAGCAGTAGGAATGTTCGATTCTCATGAAAAAAATGTTTTATGGATCAATCTTGAATCGAAATAATTAAAATCGATTTGCTAAAAAAATCGGACTGATAAAATCGATTTCATGAAAATCGATTTAAAAAATCGCGAGATAAAAGATACATTCGAGAGGCAGGGAGCAAACTCTAAGGGCCTTCGCACACAAATTGCCGTAATCGTAGCCATAATACGTAAACTTAAGCTAAAGAACCAATCAGGATATTGCTATAGATTTATGTATTCCAAAAGATGATCAAAGTGACACCAAGTTTTGTCTTACGCAGAAAAAATAACTACATTCCAACCAGTTGAAATCTAATTATTTCTGCGGAAGACAAAATCTGGTGTCACTTTGATCGTCTTTTGGAATACATAAATCTATAGCAATATTCTGATTGGTTCTTTAGCTTAAGTTTACGTATTATGGCTACGGTTACGGCAATTTGTGTGCGAAGGCCCTTAAAGATTTCTTAAAGAGTTCCCATGTCCTCCAGAACACTTTTGGAATTCTTTAAGAAGCCTTTTAGAGATTTGTGCTATATAGGTTAATATTGAAAATTTCAAAACGTTATAAATTAAAATATTTTAATGTAATACAGGATAATAGTGAAATTTTATTAAACCGATTTTTTTTTAATTAATCATTTAACTTTCATTCACATAAATGTAAAGAGGCTACTTTCAAATTGTGAAAGGGGTTATCGTATAAAATTCATATTATAAATAAGTTCATATTATACTATTTCAATTCTCTAAAATCATGGATTAATTTTGAAAATTTCGCTACGTTTGATATTAAGATATTCTAATCTAAAATGGGAGGGGAAAGACTTTATTAGATAAATTTTGTTAGAAATTATTTATTTATTTTCCATTCATGTAAATCTAAAGAATTTAAAAATAACAACTGTTGCAGATGTTCAGGTGTTAATCTATTTCTATTTTCCGTTACAATATTACCCGCTTTTGAGAATAAGCGTTCTGATGGAACTGATGTTGCCATAACTGATAAATATTGTTTTGCAATTACTGTCAGAGATGAATAAATTGAATTATAAATATTATTCCAATAATATACGGGATCTTCGGTTAATTCAATCGTTGATTGATTAAGATAATGTTTCAAATCCATTGGAATATCCTCCGATTTATCACGGACAACTTTAGTATTACTTATAAGATTTTCATGAAACGACCATATATTATTTAAGGATATATTTTTCATCAATACTGCATTTTCTTTGTTTGGTATATCGATATTTATATTGTCTATTTGCCTTGCTATTTTATTAATTGCCTGTGAACAGACGATACGGTTATTAAAATGTAATCGTTTAAACCGCGGATCTAGAATCGTTGATATAGCTAAAATAGAAATTTGCTCTATAGCTCCAAATCTTGTTTCAATGCCGATAGAAAGTGATTGAAGGAGCTCTATAGCTACATTTGATATTAGACTTTCAAGTAAACTATTAATTGTATTTTTTAAACAATTAATTAATGGTATTACTTTACTTGCTGTAACATAGTTTTCAGCACATATTTCTTTTGTGATAGCTTCGATAGGACTTAATATTTGTATAATTTCTTTGGCAAGCTGTAATTCTGAAGCTGTCAACATTGGAGGTGCCTGAGGGAATTTCAATAATATTAAACTAATTCTTTCAGACATTTCAATAAATCGTTCTAACATATAAAATGTCGAATTCCAACGAGTTGGAACACTTTGAATTAACTTTTTAGTTTCAAATTTTTGTAACTCATCTGATGCAGCGACAGAATGTTTGAAAATGTAACTACTGCTTTCATTTTTTCGCATAAATCTGCAACTTTGTCATTGTTTTTTAATAACGTTGTTACCACTAAATTTAGGGTATGCGCAAAACAAGGCAAATGTTTGCCTTTCCCAAATGTATCATTAATCGCTTTTACGATATTTGGTGCATTATCTGTTACAATGGCTATAACATTATCTTTTTTAATATTCCAGTCAGAACATATACATAAGAGCCATTGTGCAAGATAATCTGAAGCATGTCGTTCATTTAGTTCAGTAACACCAACAACTATAGATGATAATTTTTCGTTTGAAGTAAAATGCACTGTTACTCCCAAATAATTTTTAGTGTTCAACGTGTCCGTCCATATATCCGTTGTCAAACATAAATGATCAATAGTAGATAATTTTGTTTTTATAACATTTGAAAGTAGTTCATATTTCTCTTGTATCAAATTCGTTATTGTTTTCCTTCCAGAAATTTTATACAAAAGCACAGATGTTTTCATAAAATATTGGAAACTTTTTTTCTATACCGTATTATAAGGTAAATTATCTTTCGCTATCATATAAAGAATACTATTTGTTATTTGGCCATGCTTCTTACCTCCATCTGAAATATAAATAAAAATATAAAATTCGTGATCAATAGAAAATATAATCAGTGCATTTTAATTTGTAAAACCAATTTTAGACTCCTTGCCAGTCACTGTATTGAACACGAATTATGATAAACAAAAAGCTAATTTGTTTTAATATATACAACATAAAAATATAATTTGTGATTTCTCCCTTTTGATATCATAACTCAATACGATAGTAACATCTGACGAAAATTTTTAAATTAGAAGTACAAAGTAAATAAATTTTTTTACCTTCAAAACTTTTCAGATTTAATAATGTTTTGTCAATTCGCGGTTGAGCCTTTTTTAACATTCTTCTCTTAATTGGTTCAATTCTTGTTGCTGTTGAAGAACATGTTGATGTAGTAGGTGAGTTTATAGATATAGAATCGGTTACAAGTGGTACCGATGCACCTATCGTAGAATTTGTTTCATCTTTATTAATTATTACAAGATTGTCGGCATCTTCGTTAAATATTGCACGATCGTCACATTTATTATTCTGAAATTTATAAAAAAAAATTTAAACATAAATTTTATTTTCTATATAAATGTTATATTAATTTCACAAATTTATTATATTAATTTCACAAAATTTGATATTACATAATTATATTGTATTTCTTCTTTTTATATACCTTCCTAGATAGCACAGAGAATTCAAAAAGAATTTAAAAAGTATTCTGTCACATGTCAGCAATTCTGAGTTTATTTTGAGATGCAAAAAGAATTCTTCAGAGTTCAGTTCAGTGAAAAGGATGCTTTTTGTATCTAAAAATGAACTCAAAATCGCTGACATAAAACTGAATTGTTTAGGAACTCTTGTGCTATCTGGGTCCTTACCTCATTTTTTCCACTTAATGTTTCATAATGTTTCCTCTTCAAATGATTTTTTAAGTTTGTTGTATTTCCTCCAGTTTACTTTTTACTTTCATTTGACATATTTTACATTTTCCACCAACTTTGGTTTTAACAAAATGTTTCCAAACAATACTCTTGTTTTTAGATGACACTGTACAAAATATTAATGTTTTTAGTAAAACTATAAAAATCAATTATACTATTGAAATTAACGTTAAACATGCTATTAACAGAAAATAATTTTAATTATAGTTAATTGAAATATTCTCATTACTTTTTTCCTTCTGTAATATATTTTTATTATAAATAAAAAAATTGATATTAAAGTCTTGAGTCGTAATGAGTATAGTGATTCAAAATAAAATATATTGTTAAAACATGCACATGCCACTATATTTAACACACAAAAGCACTTCTCCTGTGTAAAAAGAAGCTGTAAAATACATATATACACATGTAAACCATTTATAACTAAAGCTTTTATAAGGAAAAATAAAATATGTATTTTAATTAACAAGAATACACACATGTAAATCATTTATAATTTAAACTTTTATAAGAAAAAATAAAATATATTTTTAATTAACAAGAACAAGTGCTTACATGTAATAGTATTTTGTTTACCTTTGTCGTTTTTTTTAAATATAGAGAAATATTGGGCCAAGATAAAACTGTATACACAATGAAAAACACGTCTAATAACTCTAAAGGTAAGTGTCCACGATGCTAGAAATCGGTCCGAGATCTCGATCCGAGAAATATATAACCAATCAATTTACAGCTTCTATGGAAAAGCGACAATTTTATTGGCTACACGTTTCTCGGATCGAGATCTCGGACCGATTTTGTGGCGGTTTGTGCCACGTGTCGCGTTCGTGCGTGAGTTTTTCGCGCACCGCTCGAGTCTTGGATTTTTGACTCTAGGTGCCAGGATATCTATTAGAGGATCGATCGAACGTGAACCGACGATATAACAGATAATACAGTTTATTACAATCACAACTTGAAGTTATTATTGATACAATAACAGATTCTTTATCACACGAAAAATACTTGTTAGAGATTTATCACAGCCTTGTGTTTTCTTGACAGTCTCCTTTGTCCTGTGTTCTGTCCGTCGTTAAGAACAATCTCTCTTTTGGTGGGAGGCGTCGTCTAGAGACCCGGCCGCTCTCCTCGTGATTGAACAAGTTGCTGCCACAATTTCTAGCATCGTGGACACAAGCCTTTAGGGCTATCGCACACAAATTGGCTGCATTCAGCAGACTCAACAGTTGTACAACAGTTGAGTAATTTGTCAATGTAATTGGTCTAGGGATCTAATAGCAAGAACCAATAATCGTTGATTGCTCACTGAGCGCTTTTTCTACTGAATGCGCCCATTGACATAACTGCATATGCATAGCATAAGACCGTATGTATTAAGTCGCCATATGGGTGTTCGATGCTTAATATTCGATGCTCATTGGTCCATACGATCTTATGCTATGCATATGCAGTTATGTCAATTTGTGTGCGATAGCCCTTACAGCTCAACGCGATGCGCGACGCGACACGATATGCGATGAACAATATGGCTGCCTTCCCACTTAGGCCCAGAGGGCCTATTCTCGAAAAATATCGCATACGACATTTCGATAAAAAGTTATAGTTTATGTTACGTATACTATATTTTTTATTGAAATATCATATGCAATATTTTTCAAGAATAGGCCCCTAGTTCCACAACATCCGTTTAACTTTAACTACTGGTTAAGTGCCAACAGTGATTGGTTATTTTTGTTTAACTTTTCTTAACGTTAAATGCGATTGGTCAAATCCAATGGAATAACCAGCCAGTTAAGTTAGCTGGATGTGGTGGAACTGGGGGCCTATTCTTGAAAAATATCGCATACGATATTTCAATGAAAAATATAGTATACGTAACATGAACTATAACTTTTTATCGAAATGTCGTATGCGATATTTTTCGAGAATAGACCCCCTGGCCCTTGTTCCGTATTTTCGCATAAAAACAGAACAAAACCGCACGGATCTCATTTAGTTACTAGTTACTTTTCCGCATTTACGCATTTCCGCGTTTCCGTACGCTCATGTAATCGCACCCTTACTTTTTCTCGTATATTGTCCTTCCGTCCTTTTTCAAGCCGCTGCATAGACCGCACAGTGTAGTATATAAGTCTATGGCTGCGTTCGATTTGACGCTTATAAGCGTATATGAGCGCATTTATCTATAGTACACGTAACATGAAGTATAGATCATTGCGCGTTTAAAGCTGATATTACATGTGTCGTACGACAAGCTTTTCAAATTCGTTCATTGGTTGGCGAATAGAGTATTTCTAGGTTCACTGTTCGTCAACCAATGAGCGTACCCGAAAAGCTTGTACGACACATGTAATATCAGCCTAAAGCGCGTGACCCAATGACGTATATACATAGACTAAGCATTCCATCTACAGAGTGAAGCCGGAAGTTGGCAGTTTGAAACAGAGTGAGAACGTTGTTTTGCATTAGTGCTTTCTCACTCTATCGCCAAGAATCAACATCTCTCTCTCTCTCTTTCTCTCTCTTTTGGTTAACAGACCTTTGACTTCGGCCCTTTTAACCAGTATTGTTAGGATAATTAGGTGAGCAGGATAATCTTGGATAGAGTTCCAAGGGACTTTCCAAAAATATTTACGTCTGAACAAGTTCAAGCACGTCTGTTCGTCACGGCCGTTAGACCGGAACTCAAGAATCAACATGGCCGCTGTCAAATGCTATGTATGCTTTCCGAAATCGATTTCGGAAACTTTGGTTTTAGTTATAAGGTTGGTAGGCCTTTAACTAACTTAATTTTGTTCCGTAATTGATCAGCTGATTCATGTGATTTATGTGAGTAGAAGGCTGTCTCAGCTGATCAATTACGGCATAAAATTAAGTTAGTTAAAAGCCTACCAACTTTATAACTAAAACCAAAGTTTCCGAAATCGATTTCCGAACGTATACTATGGGCAGGTTCCACTTGGTAATTGTAACGATCGCGACGACGTTTTTCTATCTTTATTTTTCTCACTAGATCAAATGTAGTGAAAAACAAAGATGGAAGAACTCCGCGATCGTTGCGGGCGTCAAGTGGAACCTGCCCTATATAGCATTTGACAGTGGCTATGTTGATTCTTGGCGATAGAGTGAGAAAGCACTAATGCAAAACAACGTTCTCACTCTGTTTTAAACTGCCAACTTCCGGCTTCACTCGCTGCTACAGCAGGAGTATAGGAATGCTTGGTCTATATATGTATGTCATTGGCGTGAGCACCCAAACCGAACGCAACCTATGCTTACTACACCTATTGTGGACCGGCACTTATGGCTGCGTTCCGAAATTGATTGGCAGTACTGAAATTCTATAGTATACGTAACATGAACTATGGATTTTTAATACTAGCAGTCAATTTTGGAACACAGCCTATATATATGCGCATCCCTGACCCAGTAAAAATCGAGAATCGATTTCCTACTAAAATAATCGATACACACAAAAATCGCGTAAAGCAGAATCGATTAAATAAAATCGATTTTTGTGAGGAAAAAATCGATTTCCTAAAAAATCGATTCAGAATCGAACATCCCTACTCAGCAGTAATCAGATTAGCTTCATAGCGACGTGAGATGATACTTTGTCCTGAAGAGAAATAAAAAGATAAAAGTTAGTAGGTACGTAATTATTATTTTAACGATTAGCGCGTATCATTTTCCTTATATATTAATATATGAATAAATGATCTGTTACACTTTTACTGATATTAAATTAATGAAAAGAAGTATTAGTCTCACGTATAGTAAACATTAACCTATAATAATATTGGATTTATGTTATAATTTCGTATGTAACAATATAAAAACAGTATATAATCTGTTAAATTAATATTTTTTAGCGGTGTTATACGCACACACTTTGATATATTATTATTGGTTTATGTTGACTCTAAAGAAGCTGATAAAAATTTGTAACGGGACACCCTGTCCCGCTACGTTTTGTTGATATATATGCTACCTCATTCTTCGTTCCGTTTGTTCTTCTATTCTATTCTATTATGTATATAATTATCTCGTGTATATAGTTGTTGTTTTAGTTATAATGTTACTTACTTAGAAGCTAGTCTTGTTTCCATCATAAATATATCGTTAGACACCGAAGATCCGCGCCTAATATCTCCCCACCCAACCCGCCTTCGCAAGTCGCGAGGAGCCTCGGCGCGCGTTAACTCGGCGCGGCGCCGCTACGTGGCGCCGGCCGGACACCGCGGCCGCTTCTCGCGGTTAAATATCGCTAGCCACGCCGATATAACGGGGCCGCTCGGGCGCCAGAA